ATTACAATCTTGTTCTATGTGTAATTACCATTTTGGTATTTAGACATATTCATTGCAGACGATGGGCAATAAAGCTGCACCGAAGATCCGACAGTCTAAGACGCCGCAAATTCGATCGCCCGCCCCTAAAGCGGATGCCGCCAATCAAACTCCGATGAAGTCTTACACGAATCTGCAACCACATCACATTATCGGCAACAAGTAAGTAAATTGATCACTTTGATTCAGTTTAACTCTAAATTATGCAACATAACTATTTGATTCTCTCTTTGTCATGATTTCAAACAGTTATGGATCTTGCAGAATGGTGGTGATGAACACCTCGACCGGAATGGCTACCCAAATGACCCCCAACTCTCCGATGACGCCCGATAAATTGGTGAACCAGCAGAACAAGCAGCAACAAAATCAGCCGGTGAATGTTAATCAACAATTGGCCGAAGTGGTCATGCAACAACAGGTATTGAAGAAGGAAGAAATGCAATTGCAACAAACTTTACAACAAACACTTCAACAGTTTCAAATACATCAAAACCAGCAGTCCCAGCAACAAATCCAGGCGAAGCCCATGATGAGTAAGTAGGCAACCAAAAAAAAATATTAGTTAATGACTATCAAGAATTTTCGCCCGGTAGCACTTTTTTAAATGAAAATTTTGATACTTGGATTGGACGCTCTGGTGTTATTCCATGGCCCCCTAATAGCCCCGACTTAACGCCGCTTGATTCTTTCCTCTGGAGTTATTTATAGAATATTGTGCATGTCCAGATGCAAATTTTGATGATTTACTCATTGGAATTGTGGACGCAACTTTTCTTGACGATATTTTCAAAAACAGCTTTGACCTAGAGCAAAATTCATTATTCATTATCTCAGAAAAACACACAATATTCTTTTGTCAAATGTCGACAATTTAACTAATTGATCCCAGCCATAAACCTCTATTTTTACCGTAGTACACTTTTAAGCGTATGTATTTAATTGATATTACAAGCATGCGACGCCACTGATCGATCTTGTGGAAGATGGTTTCAAACATGGCCGCCAAACTAGTTACTCGTATTAGCAAATCTGTCTTATTGTATTCGCGAGTTCAACCACCGATGGTGGCGCTGCGAAACTTCAAATTATTTGTTGTCGAGTGACAGTTGAGACTTGTTTATTTACTGGAGTTGATGACAGTTTTAACATAAAACAATACTCACACTTTTCGATCTGTTTTTATTTATTTAAAAGCTTGCAAAAGCAAAAGCAAAACTCAAGCAGATGTAAACACTAATGTCAACAAAACTATCAAATGTGACAAATTACTACTTAAATCGTAGTTATAATTTTTCAGACGCCCCCCACTAGGGGGCGTCTGGACCTTTGAACTCGCCAATTAACGACTTTTTAAACAGTTTTCAAACCTTGACAAGCGATTTCTAACCTCTGAAGTGTCACCGTTTGATCCCCTAAAGCATGAAAATGAGTGAAAAGCGCCTGCTAATAGTTATATCTCAAGACCGCAATGAAGACGTTTTACAAATGAATATGAATAATGTAACTAAAGGTATTCGTTGCAGTTCCCAATGGGATTCATAGAGTATCAGGTAATTAATAGAATACTGTTTTATTTTCAGCTCTTCAAGCGATCCAAGGCATCCCGCAGCAACAAATCCAAATGGGGGGCGACCGCTCGCTTATTCCAGTCCAACAAGTGCAGCAGCAGCTGCAGCAGCAGATTCCATGTTCAATCCAACAAGGAATCCCGTTGCAGCCCAACTTGGTTACTCAGGCAATGAACATGCAACAGATTCACCCTGTAAGTGTTGAGGTAGATTTTCTGTTCACCTGGGCCTTTGAAAACTAACTAGCGATTTGTGTTTCCAGCAACAGCTTGCACAGATGGCATCACAGGGCACCATTTTGACCGGTCAAATTCAACAACAAGGTGGAACCCACACTGTGCTGCCCCAAGTTGTCAACCAAAACGGACAGCAAATGCCGCAACTTCAACATATTACAGTGTCTGCAGCCTCACACCAACATCAACCTCACCAGACGCAGCAACTCCAACCGCAACTGGTAAATATAGACTGTAGGATCATAACACATGAGCCAAGAGCCAGATTCTTTGCTGTAGCCCCCAGAGAAGCGGCTAATTTTCTTTAATAATTTGCTTCAATACATTGGGGAAAATTGAGATTCTTGTATTAGCTAAGTTGTCACGGTTTGGGCACCATTTCCTAATTTTCACATTTAGGAATGTTTTCGGGCTTTGAAGCCGTGGTCTATGGGAATTTCGTGCTTTCCGACTAAGACTGGCACGGGAGATCACTTCGCCCACTGCCTCATCGCCTTTGATAATGTCCACCGCAGTTGTGGACGAAACGTCCGCAACAAATTCCCATAGACCACGGCTTCAAAGCCCGGAAAACATTCCTAAATGTGATTTAACCGGCCGTGAAAGCCTTCATAGTCTGATTTCCTAATTTTTTCAATTTGCTCTTTTAGGTTCCTTTACCGCCTGTGGTACCAGCCGTTACTGAAAAAGACAATAGTGCCAGCTTATTACAGGAAGCACTTTCACCTACCCAAGCGATGCCCGTCACCACGACAGCTGCTGTGCTTAAAGAGAGCGGTTCATCGGATGGTAAGGAGGAAAAAACTCTTCAAATCCTCACGCCTTTTCATGCCTGGTGTTTTTGCAGGAAATTCAGTCGAAGCAAAGGAAAGTTTGCCTGGACAAGATTCTAAGCAGTGTTCCACCGGTGTGGATGCCGTCGCTTCCCTGCACATTCCGAATGCTGGGACGGTACCTAATCAACCAACTACATCCGAAATGTCCATGCCTATTGCTACTACGGCTGAGGAAGTGAAAGAGAGGTGTCCACCAAAGGCAATGGTTAAGCCTCAGGTAAGCAAAGTAAGGAATCCTTCATTTTTATTAAATTAATTTACTGGCTTGCACCAGCAATCCGTTCGTCGAATACATTCTTGCGTTTGCAGGTTTTAACCCATGTGATCGAGGACTTCGTGATCCAGGAGTCTTCCGAACCTTTTCCTGTTTCACGAAGTGGCATGGTTGGCGACCTGAAGCGGGCGCATTCAACCAATGATCAAGATGACGATATTTCACGTAAGTCAGTTAAAGATCTTTTAAACTGTGGCTTCTAAAGTAGGTTTTCCTATAAACGATGGTGGTTTAAAATACATTTATGGTCTCAATAACACATCATTTACGTTTCCACTGCGGCTTCGACTACAGGAGCAAATTCGCTGGATTTCCAATGATGGTTCTCCAATTAATCAGCTCTCATACGAGAATCTCTTGTAAACATTTTGATCTTGCAGAGCCGCTAACTCAAACTTTTCGATCAATTGTGACCGCAAAAACCTGTTAACATCGATCTATAGTGCTCGCCATTCACAGTTACAGTAGTAAAAATATGTAGTTTTGTGAAGTTTCCGATATTAAGCCATCACTTAAGGTTTTTTCAATGTTAGTTTACAAGCTTTTTTGCATCCAGCTGTTGTTGTTGTTTGCCGACCGCTTATTTTACAACTAGTCGATTTAGTACTTGAACATTTAGCCACAACAATGATCCTTTTTGAAATTTGGTTTTTATTATACTATTAAATTGCAGGTAAGAAGCAGTCCATGTCCCCCAACAGTTTATCTCCGAGAGGAGACATGGCGAAATGTGAGGCCTGCGGTGTGGTTGATCTCAAGTCAAAGTTCAAGAAGAATAAGAGATTCTGTTCAGTTGCTTGCTCGAAGAGGTAATTTAGAGGACTGTTACCATTATAATAATTGAGACTTTGTTATGGAGCTGTTTATTGATTCGTTGGCTTCATTTGCAGTGGGAAGAGTAAGGACGATAAGAAGAAATCTGAGAAAGTGGAACCGATGAATGTTGACAACAGTAAAGCGGAAAGTACCAGTCCATCTGGAGCTGATGACGACAATACTCCGAAAGTAGATCCGCTTAAGTGGGGCGTAAGTATTTAAACATCTATCTTCATGTGTCCTGTCCGTTTTTCCTGACTTTGGCGATCGCCATCGCGAAAACTGTCCTGTCCTCTGCCATGCGGAAAAGTTCACCAGCCCAGTCTCGAAAATTTCGTTGATAAAGTTGAGTGTAAGTTATAGAAGACATCATTCATCAATATATGATGTCTCGGCTTTGATGGTCGCTCAAAGTTGACTTGAGCTTCGGCGTTTTTAACATGTTATATTCGCGGAGTATGAAACATTCTTCCATACATGCAAAATGAAGCAGCGTTAGATTATAATCGTCAAAATCCATATTTGCGTCTAATGCGAGCGTGAATAACTCAGAAGCTTTTGCAGGTCTTGTTCTTTTGGGTAGAGCACTAAAAGTTGCCGATAACCAGGCACTCGGGCATTGCCTTGTATTATTTAATATTGTATATACTTTCCTGACTGTGTTTCAATTCCAAATCAAAATCAATTCCTGGGTTTCAGTCATTTATTGTCTCTATTTATCAATTAAAATGCGTTTCGGTGTATTTTTCCACCATCATCAGTTTTTATGTGTAGCGTTGTTGCTGCTTTAAGCCTTGGCATACATTTTTTGCCGTGCAAGAAAATGATTATTTAATAAAATTATAAATGATTTTGATTATTTAATATGTTTAGCTGTCCATCCATTATTCTCCTCTCTCCATATTTTAGGTCACTTATCAAACTGATTTTCCGCTCTTGAAACACACTCATTACCGTTGTGCAATATATAGAGATTTAAAATGATTGTTTTTTTTCAGGTACAAGAAGTGTTTGAATTTATCAGAAGTCTTCCCGGCTGTTCAGATTACGCTGAAGATTTCCTGATTCAAGAAATCGACGGTCAAGCACTTTTATTGCTCAAAGAGGACCATTTGATGACAGCGATGTCGATGAAACTGGGCCCTGCATTAAAAATCGTTGCAAAAATCGACGATATGCGAATAGATAAGGAACCGCCTAAGCCTGCTTAAGTGACCTGCGTTTAGGTACTTATTTAGAATTTACTTTGCGCCTTTTTTGGTACTTTGGACATTCATTTTATCGTCTGGAGAGCCATAGTTTTGAATATTAGTTTACGTCGATGTTGTCATGTTATACATTACAAATCATGTGGCCAATAGAAGCGACTTTCTCGCCTTGGTTTGTGGTGGCCAAACATGGTTGTTTTTACAATTAGGTCGATTATCGAATGTTTACGTCAAAGTGTAATCGGTGCTCGTTCTTCGCAACATCGACCGGTTTGTAAATATTTTTGTCTATTCAGATCTGATTTTGATATAACGAGGAAATGATGCCGATAAATAGCATATTTTGGTTTGTGAAAAGCTCCATTCTTGTACAAATGTAAAATAAATAATGTAGAATACACAGAATTATTGATATTGCACACTGCATTATTTTAATTCATGAGTTGATTTCCAGGCCAAATGCGCTGAGAGAAAACAATTCAACTAGATCAGTGTATTTATTTTATCTAGACTGGAATGTTTTAGTTACCCAATGCAGATAGCGTGATTTTAATCATCATACTTGACCAATGATAAGGACTGTATCTATTTTGATAAAAGGGCTAAGGTGTACTGTGTTTAATGTCACAGGAAATGATTTCCATCATTATTATGTGCAATTTTTGAAGTTTTCCTTTTCGTGGAAAAGACACAAATTTTGAAAATTTGTTATTATAAATACTGCCACTAAAGATAATACATTTGTAATTTATATATAAAGTTTTGGACTCTTTATTGTTACTTGCCTAAACCCGAAAGTAGTTAGTTGTTCTCCATTTCCCCAGTTGTTGAGAGGAAATAGCGTAAAAAGCGCCATGTAAATGCCTGCAAGAGATGAAGGCGTTTAAAACGGCTAAATTGAGTCCTTTAGTTCCTAAATGCGACTTGAAAAATAATATAAATCAACTGATGAAATCGCATCCCCGGAAGCTGGTAGCCAACGCCAGCTAAATTATTCAAATTAATTCGTTGCAGAAAATTATGACGTCGGGTTAGTGGATAAATTGCTAAGCTAAATTATCTTAAGCCAAGGGCAGCCTTACATCAAGCTTGAGTAATTAAAGTTTTTAAGAGAAACCTTGCTGAAATTATTGTTGATCGTATTTCACTTATAGAGGTGTGTTAGAAGGGAATTTTCTTGGTGTAATTTTTTACGCTTACTCGGACAAACTGCGTTCTTAGCATCGAGTGCAATATAAATAAATAGTGAAACACTTTAATTAAAATTTGCGCATATTCAAGGGTTAACCTCCGGATGCACTTCATTTAATATACACAATTTTTTATGGTGTTTAAAATTCTTATTTACTTACATTTTCCAGGTAAATGTAAATGTAAATGCGCAGGCATTTGTTGATTTTCGGACACAGGATATTTTAACCGACGGTTTTCTGCGATTTTTGTCTATCGGATGGTGCAACTATTTGTCGGGAAGTTTTCGGTCAAAACAAGATGAGGGCAACCTCCTAATAATCATTTTAAC